TGGCATCTTACAATTTTGTTATTGGTGATAAAGTAAAGGTGAGGCTTAAAGCATCCTAAAGTGAATGAAGTTCATGTTTTGGGGTCCCTCATTTGCATCGTGCCCTTCCAGGGCCTTATATTTAATTTGTATTTGTAATTTGTTTTCAATCTCTTAGAATGGGTCCCTGAAATGAGCTTCAGGCCCTACAAACCTGCATCCATCTCTAATGTATCCAATGTATTTTTAGAAGATTGGTAATTCAGTAGGTTGATGATTAGTATTTATAGGGGATGAGGGAAGAGGATCAGGAATGGGTGGTGAGAGACTGGAAACTTAGGATCTAATGTCAGTGAATGACAGCTACATCCATTCATCTGGTGGAAGAAGCCAGAAACTTCTACTCCTGTCCCTCTCTTATGCCCCAATCCAAGCCATCATTAGGTCCTGTGTATTTCTCCTATGCTAGAGACTCCTGGTCCTCCTTCAAACTCTGTTTTCTTCTTCTGTGAGTAATAGAACCCTCTAGTTTTAGCCGGATACTCTGAACAGCCTCTCTTTCAGTTAAATGTGGACACAAAGCTTAGTTTTGGCAATGGAATGTGTGCTGTATCCTTGGAGTTTCCTTAAATTGAAGTGGAATCTCATTCTCCCCCTCTTTTTCCTCCCTTCTGCTAACAGGAATATAGACATGATGGCTGGAGCTGCAGCAGCCATTTCGGACCATGAGGTGACCTTGGGAAATGGAATTACATAAAGCAAAATAGAAGCCTGGTTTCCTTGCACTGTGAAGTACTATATCAATCCTGCATTACCTACCTCTGGACTTTCACTTAAAAGAGAAATTAACAATCTCAAGTAAAATACTGTTATTATTTTTGTCACTCAGTTAAAATAATTTCCTACTAATATTCCATTTCACTGCAAGTCCTCATCACTACCTAATCAGAGTTACCAATATTTCTTGCCTGGAATATTTTTTTTAATATTGCTATTAATTTTTGGAGAGAGAGGGGGAGGGAGAGGGAGAGAGAACAGAACATTGATGTGGGAACAGAACATTGATCAGCTGTCTCCTGCATGCCCCCTAGCAGGGATTGAGCTGCAACCCAGGCATATGCCCTGACTGGAATTGAACTGGCAACCTTTTGGTGCACGGAACAATGCCCAACCGAGTCACACCGGCTAGGGCTTGCCCTTAATTTTAAAATAACCTATGAATTGATATCCCCATATTTACTCATATCTATTCCAGCCTCCTACCAATGAGTTTTCTACACAAGAGCCTAAGCAGCGGTTCTCAACCTGTGGGTCGCGACCCCTTTGGCGGTCGAACCACCCTTTCACAGGAGTCGCCTAAGACCATCCTGCATATCAGATATTTACATTACGATTCATAAGAGTAGCAACATTACAGTTATGAAGTAGCAACGAAAATAATTTTATGGTTGGGTCACAACATGAGGAACTGTATTTAAAGGGCCAGAAGGTTGAGAACCAATGGCTAAGGGATTGATTTAAAATGCAAATCGAATGTCATTCCCTGTATTAGTCTACCTAAGCTGCCATAATAGAATATCACAGACTGGGTGGCTAAAACAAAATAAATTTCTCACAGTTTTGGAGGATAGAAGTCCAAGATCAAGGTGCCAGCACGCTTCCTTGATTTGCAGATAGCCGCCCTCTCACTGTGTCTTCACATGACCTGGTTTCCTTGCACTGGGAAGTACTGTATCAGTCCTGCATTACCTACCTCTGCATTGCTCTGTATGCACATGCATAGAGAACAGTGTCTCTTCCTTTTTAATATTTTTTATAAGGATACCAGTCTTATTGGAGTAGGATCCCACCCATGTAACTTCACTTAAAGGCCCCACTTCCAAATGCAGCCACATTGGGGTTTAGAGCAGCAACATATGAATTTTGAGGGACACAATTCAGTCCATAACATTTCTCTTCTTCAATCATATCCATGGCTTCTCATTGCTCTTAAAGTTGAGCAGTTAAAATGGCAAGACTCCTGTATGATCTTGGCCCTGCTTCTCTCTCCATTTTCATATTATAGCATGCTCTTCCTCACTCTCCACGATTTAATCACACTGGCCTTCCATTTTCTCAGCTATAATATGATTTCTCCCACCTTGGGGCCTTTGCACATGCTTAGCTTCTGTCCGATATGCTCTTTCTCCTCTCATGTCCCTTTGCTTGGTAAACATCTCTCCATCAGTACTCAGCTTAATAATCTGTTCTTCAGCCCTGGTTGGTTTGGCTCAGTGGATAGAGCATCAGACTGTGGACTGAAGAGTTCTCGGTTTGATTCCAGTCAAAGGCACATACCTTGAGGGGGGGGGGACCCTAGATTGGGGAAAAAGAAGACAAATGTAAAACTTTAGACAAAAAATAATAAAATAAATAAAAGGCACATACTTTGGCCCCTCCCCAGTCCGGGCCCTGGTCCAGGCGCCTGTGGGAGGCAACCAATTGTTGTTTCTCTCACATGGATATTTCTCTCTGTCTTTCCCTCTCTCTTCCACTCTCTCTAAAAATCAATGGAAAAATATTCTCGAGTGAGGATTAAAATAAACAAACAAACAATCTGTTCTTCAGGGAAGCCTTCCTTGGTCAACCATATATTTCCCCATTCCCTCATTATGAGCTTTCATAGCTCCTTGCACCTCTTTTTAATAGAACTTATCATAATTTGCCTTTATATTTTGTTCAAAATTGTTTGGCTAATGTTTGTCCTTTCCGTTAGATAATAAACTCCATGAGAACAGAGACATGTCATTTTTTGCTTATTTTTGTATCCCTAATGTCTTCTACAGTGTATGGAACATATATGACACTCAAGAAACAGTTTCTGAATAAGTAAGAGGTAAGTGGGAATTGGGTCATGTAGAGGTGAGTATGACAAACACGGAACTTGGGACTTAATTCTCAAGCATATATAGCATGGCAATCAAGGATTTCCGGTGGTGGAATGAAATAAGATCTGTCTTGAAAAGAATCTATGTTGGAAGTAAAGTGATAGGTTTCAATGGTTGTAGCAGGCCCTGAAATGGGAAATGGGGCTGGAGTTAAATTTGTGTTAGTTCCTGCTCTTTTTATAAATTCTTCAGTGTAAATCAGGTTAGTTCTCAGCTTTCCCCACTGCTGGTTTGGGATTTGGCTTCCATGGCCTGGCTAGTGAATTATCCTTGTTCATCTGTTTTCTATCTTCCAATATGTTGCTGCTATTATTTTATTTCCTGTTTTTGTTGATTTATTTTTTATTTTTTTAAAAAACTTTTTAAAAATTTTTTATATATATTTTTTATTGATTTTTTACAGAGAGGAAAGGAGAGAGAAACATCGATCAGCTGCCTCCTGCACATCTCCTACTGGGGATGTGCCTGCAACCTAGGTACATGCCCTTGACCGGAATTGAACCCGGGACCTTTCAGTCCACAGGCCGACGCTCTATTCACTGAGCCAAACCAGTTTCGGCGTTGATTTACTTTTTAAATCCCTTTTGTTTTCATTATGAAAATTCTTTGTTTATGGCAATAAAATTGCTTTGCACATTGGCCAAAATTTTTGTTAAATGACATTATCAAGTAAATGGTGGCAAAACTGAGGATGAAAGGGTGGAGGTGTAAATGGATACATTCTGGAGAGCAGTGTTTCTCCAAAAGCTTAAAATGTTCATCCTTTTTGAGCCAAAAGATCTACCTCTAGGAATTTATCCCAAAGAAATGATTTAGCTTTAAGAATGTTTATAGGAGTGTTATTTATAATTTTAAAAAAATAGTCTGACAATTGGGGGCTGGTTAAATAAGCTATGTACTTTCAGAAATCACATATGTAGTCATTAAAAATTGTTGTTGAACCAAGCTTCTCACACAGCGTTACTCCAGAGAATACCCAATACGTGGTCATCTGCCAAGGATATGTGACACCATAGAACATATTTACCTCATTTTCTCCCAGCACTAATTTTATTGGTGATGTGGGAGTGTGGAGTGACCGCTAAGTTTCAGCCCAAGGCCCTTTGTTCTTTTCTTCCTTGGTAACCCTACCCTGATCCCCCATCTGGATTTGTATCAGGGATGTTGCTGCTCAGAATAAAAGATCGCATTTCCCAATCTCTGTGGTAGCTAGGTGTGGCCTTAGGACTAAAAGCAAATTAATAAAATCTCAGTGGAAGTGTTGTGAGAGACTTCCAGGGAGGCTAACCTGATGGAGTTGAATGAGCGGGAATGAATAAAAAGGGTGTACTTAAAAATTCTGCTCAGTTAAAAAAAAAAAAATATATATATATATATATACACACACACACACACATATACACATGGTACACATTTAAAATTCTTATTAAAGTGACAATTTTAAAAGTTCAAATATCTAATTCCAATTTGAGGGGTGTAAGGGGAGGCGAAAAGAAGAGGATGTGGGAGGGCAGTTGATTTATTTCTATGAGCATCTCGATATGCAATGCTCATTTCCCTCTACCATTAAATCCAACTCGAAAAGGCTGACAAGGCTCGTATAAACTGCTTGTGAGACTCCTGTTGGCGTTTTGCACAGTGCCGAAGTTTTCCGGATAAAACAAGAGCAGGTTTTGGGGTTGTTTCACTTCGTAGAACCCGGCCTTCCCCCTCCCAAATGTGCCTCGGATCTAACACGCAGGGTTACAGAATTTAGGCTCTGTTACGTCGATTTCGGAGTGTGCCTTCTCTCTATGGCATCAGAAAACCTAACCCGAGTTGAGGACAGAGTTGGCCCCAATACCTCTTTAGAATTTGCCGCAGAAAAGCGGGGACCGCTGGGACAGGCGGGCGGAGAAAACGCTCGCTGGGTACCAATTCCCTGAGTCGGGGCGGTGCGAGTCATGGCCCCGCCCCTCCGAGAAGCCAATAGCTCGGGACGGGAGCGGGAGGGGCGGGGCGAGCCCTGCAGGCGACGTCGTGATTGGCGCGCCGGCTTCCGCAGCCCGCGAGGCAGCCCTTACTTCCAGTGTATCAGAACCCCTGGCGAGTGCGGAAGTACAAAGTTTGTCCGCTGCGGGGCACCGTAGTGGCTTTACCCAGGGCGGAGCGGGCTGAGCTGGGCTGGGCGCTGGAGCCCAGTTCAGCTTTGGAGACCCCGATGGCTGCGGTGTTTTTGGTAACGCTCTACGAGTACTCGCCGCTTTTCTACATCGCGGTGGTCTTTACCTGCTTCATCGTGACCACCGGCCTGGTATTGGGATGGTAAGTGCCCCAGAGCTAAAGGCAAGGGAAGGAGGGGCAGCCAGACAGGGAGCCGGGTCGCGGCGAGCGTCTGGGGGCATGGAAGCAGGGAGGGCTGCGGCGCTGGAGCGCCTGGGGCTGTCGGGGAGCCGGTGACGAGGGTTCCAAATGGCTCCGCGAGAAAAGCTAGGTAGACACTGCACCTGCATGACTGCCCCGCATTACCTCCCGGTCCCCGCCGCTGCGGGCACACGGGGGTGGTGCCGGATTGAAGTATTTCACCCAGCTTTGTTTCTGGATAATAAAGCGTCCAGGAAGGGCCTGGTCGTGGATAGAGTACTTGTCCGCCAGCTTCTGCCCCAGATTGGGGCCTCCTGTGCCCCATGTCCAGTCCCCTGGGGCGCAGTGCACACACACGGACAGTAAACAAGGTTGATTGTTGTGCTTCTGAATTGAGCACTTGGCCTCAGGTAACTTGTAACAGAACTCCATTGTATCATGTTTAGAGAAGCCTCGCAGATAACAGCTAGTTGAGACCATTTTACTATATCCATTGATGAGAGAGATATGAGTTAGAATCTATAACTGTTAGATTTTGAAGAACGAGTGTTTTGAAAAATAAGTGGAGTAAAATATGTATGGTAGAGAATAGAAGGCATTCCCGAGAACACAACATGGGCTGAGGGGCAGAGGAAACATGTGTAAAATGAGTGAGGATTAACAAAAAAAATAAAATACCCTTTGATCACAATATATGTGCTTACTTTAAAGAAAGGACAGGAGCCCTTGTCATTTTCTGACAATGTGTGCTGTCTTTAGGATCTAAGCAGTTTTAACACTTTCACACTGCTCCCCACATTGTAGGCAGTAGAGCATAAAACTCCTTGTGTGTGGTGGAGGAAGATGAAGACCAATTTTACACAATTTGTTATTCTGGGCCCATCAGATTTTATTGCTATCGTTCTTCAAGAAGGTTTGTAATTGGAATTAGGAAGCTGTTGCCCAGTGAGAGAAGCAATGTTAACACAGGATTTTAAAATAACTACAATGTTAGTGTTATTCTCTTAAAGAAATGTAATTTTTCTTCACTAAAGAAAATAGGTGACTAGTTGATAATTGCATTATATCTTTACATTTTAATTTTCAATGTCCAACTAATGAGATATTTTAGCTATCTGTCTTTAGTAGTATTGGGAAGAGGAAAATGAGTGAAGATCCTATTGGTAATGATAGCAGCCTCTGTGTGTGAAGGGTAGCCAGGAACCTAATGTTTGTAGTGGTTAAGAGACAGACTTTGGTATTAGACCTAGTTCAAATCCTGGCTCAGCCAAGTGTAAGATTTGGTTTGAAAACTTAATGATACTCTAGGTATGGTTTTTCAAAGGGAAAAAGCTAAGATAATTGTAGAACTTTTGGAATTCTGGGTGCGGGATGCTAAGGCCAGAGATTATGTTTGTGCTAGTCATTTTCATCCTGATTTGGGTCAAACCAGTCACTGATCTTGAGGCTAATCCAACTATTCTCTCCATCTGGGTTAGCTTTGTTCATCTAGATACATTTTTTACTAGCATTTATTTGCTAACCTAAGCCAAGGTCACAGATGCATTGAGTAGAAACAATGAAAACCATCTAGATTTCATTAAAACAACTTTCTAATAGTACCGCAGGCAGAAGGTAAATCCATTAATCCACTATGCTCTTCACCCTTGTCATTTTTTTTAACCTCTCATAATATAATCCCTAGTGGTCATCTGTCTTCTCGCTCATGGTTTTTACCTCAGTACAGCTCTGAGTTTCCTTCCCATTGCTTCTTTCCACCGTTCTCCTTGTCCAGCTGCACTGTGTGGGAGTGGAAAAGAACAGGAACTTCTGATTATTGGAATCTCAATAGCAATAGTAAAGAATCATGCAACTAGAAGTATGGTGTTTCTATTTAACTACACGGTGGGTTCTGTGAACCCTAGTAGCTCACATTTATTAAACTTCTGCTATTTGCCATGCACTGTGCAGAAAAAACACACACAGTTTTAACAGTTTTTAACAGTTTCAAAAAATCAGAAAGCCTAACTCTAGCTACTCCCTGACTATGGGTTATTAAGATACTAGAGGCCCGGTGGCCCGGTGCACGAAATTCATGCCCAGTAGGGTCCCTATGCCTGGCTGGCGATCAGGGCCGATTGGGGACTTCCTTCCTATGGCTGCTGGCTGCTGGGGCCTTCCTTCATTCCGCGCCGCCCCCTGGTGGTCAGTCATAGCTAGCTGTCGAATTCCCGGTCAGTCGAACTCCTGAGGGGACAATTTGCATTTTAGCCTTTTATTATATAGAATTGTCTCTTGGCTTGATATCACCATTATTGTACTCTGCGTTGTGAATCTGAGGCAGAACCTCTAAACCTCATTTCTTCTTTGCTAGCTGGCTGCCCATGAGGCTTTGCCAATAGGGGAGGGAGAATGGAAGGCTAGAGGACAAGAGGACTTGCACTTCCTGTTTGATTCTTTTTCTTGTTTGTCTCACCACAGCAATAGTGCCTCACTCTGGCACTAACAGTCATTCCCAGTTTTTCCAGTTCAAGGTTTCCCACTTTCTTAGAACCAGCCTCATTGCAAACCTTCAAAGATATCAATACCCTTTCCTCAGATCTGAGTCCTAGCTCTATGGGGGTCCTTCCTCCAAATTTCTAGGCTCTAGTAACTCTTTTTTCTCTGTTCCTTATCCTAAGAGTGATCGTTGCTTCCTATTATTAGTACTTTTTTGATACTCAGTGTCCCTCTTTTGCCTTTTCAGTTCTTTAAAATCTGGCTAACATTTTTTTGTGTTAAACTAGAGGCCTGGTGCATGGATTCATGCACCCGTGGGCGTCCCTCGACCTGGCTTACAGGGATCAGGCTGAAACCAGCTCTCCGACATCCCCCAAGGGGTCCCGGATTGCGAGAGCGCAGTTCTCGGGTGATGCACCCCAGAATCAGGCTCTCTCTCTCTTCTCTGGTTCCAGTGCGTCACCCGAGAACCACAGCTGCCAAGTCACTGCAGCTCAACAGCTCCTACATTGAGCGTCTGCCACCTGGTGGTCAGTGTGCATCATAGCTACTGGTCAGACGGTCAAACGGTCGGCTGGTCACTTAGGCTTTTATATATAGAGATTATCTCTGTTAAAATTACTGGTGTAATTTTGGTCTCCTGACTAGACTGATAAAAATGTTGATAAATTATTACTAAAAATGGGATCCTGGGGAAAGGGGGCCTCAGAGATGGGGTTGGAGATTGGTATGGTCATTTCTTCAGCTCCTTGCCAATACATGGCATACATTGGCATCACAGTTAATAAAATCACTCACTACTTTTGAGTGATTATGAAACAACTAAAGGCCTGATGCACGAAATTTGTACAAGGGGCTTGGCCCTCACAGCCCTGGCTGCCTCGTGCACCCACCTCTCTGCTTCCCACCCACTGGTCGTTCTGGAAGGTCATTCTAATTAGCGTATCAGCTCTTTATTATATAGGATGATTTCTGAAGCAAGTGCTTTGGGGCAGTGGTCGCCAGCTGGTGGTCCATGTGTGGCTAACGCACTTGACCAATATGGCAGTAATGATGTCTATACGGACTGAGGGATGGGTGGGATGGATACTTCTGAGATCACTAGAGCACTTACAGGGGGAAAAGCACACAGACAAACTCAGGTCTTTTAACTCTCAGATCAAGTCTTAGAGAATGAGAGAATTTCTTTGATTCTAAAGCACTTTATCAGAGCCCCTGAGCTAAAAATTGAACACAGCTTTAATTGTGCTGGTAATAGCATTGCACAGTCCTGTAGAAATCTCACTTAGGACACCGATTAGAAAGAAGTGGAGCCCTGAAACTTGGAATGGGAACATCGAAATAGACTTGAGCATCTGGAAACCCCACGTCACTCTGAGCCTTCCTTGTTGGTGGAAGCAGCCTGCTCTCCATGTCTGAGAAGACTAGCCTTCCCGTGTTTTATAATAATCTCGCCTAGGGCAGTTGCTTTGCATGAAGCACTGAGAAATATATTACTGAGGGGAGACTTATCCTTGGAAATCTCTGGCACCTGCCTTCTCTAGGCTATTTATGATGGTGAGAGATGCTGCCCTTAGGGCAGACTTACTGACTTAAAGTCTAGTGGCAACACATAACCACAGAAGTCAAGGTGGACATGTTCCATAATGGGTAAGGGAAGACAAAGCAGAAAATGTTTCGGCCTGCAGGGATCTTTGGCAGTGCGTAATGGATTACAATGTCCCTGGGAATAAAATAGATGGTGGCTTACTAAATGCTACATGAACTGCATAAAAGGAAAAACTCCAGGTCTGGAGCCAGAGATCTGACTTGGGTCACAACAATGGAGAGTGTGACCTTTCACCCAGTTTCCAGGTCTAAACCAATCCATAGACTGGGAGCTTCTGATTGAAGGGGAGGTCAGGTCCCCTTGGGGAAGGACCCTATGTCCTGTAGTACTCCACAAAGATATACTGTAAGTCGACCTTTCTCAAAGGCTATTGTCTCTCAGCAAATATGCTCTTCTCTACTCTGCTTTATGATACTGGGGCTGGGACTTTGCAAACCACATTTCTCTTGTGCTAGTTCCATATCTTCTTTCTTCTTCCTCCTCAGTTCCTCTTCTTCCTCCAGCCTTCCGGTCTCTTTTTTAAAAATTTGCTCCCCTTTCCTGGTCTACATATTTGCAACATTGGCCTTCACCCTGGCAGTGACAGTTGCCCCAAGTTGCAGCAGGTTTTTTTTTTAGCTTATTTTTTCTCATATCTAGGACCAGCCTTATGGCATTCCTTCAGAGATATCAGCACCAGCTGGCCAGAACTGCTACCAAAACAGTCTGTGTCCTAGCTTCGGGGGGATCCCTTCTCTAAGTTTCTAACTTGTAATAATTCCCACTCTTTCCTTTATTTCTCCAACCCTAAGACAGGAATACAAAAACATCTGAGATAGTAATTGAGACATATAGCAGTATTAGGACATAATTCAGATAAGGCAGGGATGAAAAA